AGAGGCACAGAATCATCCCCAGGCATCCCTGCCCTCACAGGGGTTGCAAGGCCAGGTTTAAAAGCGGAATGGAAATGAGACGCCACGCCAGGAAACACAGTCCTCTGCAGGCAATGTGCTGTCGCCCCGGCTGCTCCAAGTTATTCATTTGTCTCTGGGCACTGAACCTTCACGAAAGGGAGCACTATGCTTCCAAGTTAGCCATGTCGGACTCCAGTTCAAACGGACAAGGAGACGAAAAAGCTCTCAAAACACCACATGGAAAGAAAACTCAGAGATCAGAACATGCTTCTGAGTCAACCTTAAGAAAAGGTACTAAGTTATCAGAACAAGCAAAAAGTGTCTTTACTTTTCCGACTGGTTCATCAGCTCAAATACAAAACAAACTTAGACCCAGAAATAAAAGCACAGATTCTAATGTTTCTGAGAAAGAAACCTCTCTTCCACCTCTGACCATTAATCTTAGGTTAAGGCAATCTTTAAGGGAAGCCAAAGCCACAAAGCAAGTTCCTAAAAGTCATAAAGTCATCTCATCATCCTTTTTGAAACACAGAAACAAAGTAAAGACGAGGATAAAATTAAGAAACATCAGAATGTCCACTAGAGGTCCTGGAAGAAGAAAGTGCCCTCCGAGGTTAAGCAAAACTGCTGCCGGTCAGAAGATGCCCCCTCCAGACACCCTGATGCTGCCAAGAATAAGCACCAAGGCGAAAGCTGTAAAAGAGAAGGGTGAAGCAGCTCAGGATGAAGGGACAACTACAGAAAAGACACCGAATGATTCAAAGTCAAAAACATCAAAGGCCAAGCGGATTACAAGGAACCAAATATCCAGCAAATCCCATTCCACCACTTCTAACAAGGCTGGATTCTCCGATCTCAACAGACAGAAGCCAACTGTGGACAAAACAAAACTCCACAAGATCCAAAAACATTCTGTGCCTTCAGATTTTAGAAAGCTAAAGAAAAATGACATTGGTAAAGTTAAAGACAATAAACAGACTATGAAGACGAGTCAAAAACAAAGTTCTGCTTCTGCGAAGGCAGAGGAGTCTGAACCAGTTAAAGGCAAAGTCGTAGTCGAAGGTTCTGTAGATAAGAAAGCAGAAAACCAGGATTTAGGTTTGATTAACGCCATTAGCTCCGTGCCTGATGGGTCAGGTAAATCCACAGACATGCCACCGAAACCACTGAGGGCGAAAACTGAAAGAATTTCAAAGGTATCAGGCGCCAGGAAGGATGAGAAAACCCCCGCTGCAAATTTGAAGCCGATGAAGAAAGCTGGATTGTTGAAGAAAAGGGTCAATCAGAAAGTGAAGGGAAAACATCCAGGCAAAAATCAAACTTTGGAGAATCTTGCCACATCGAAAATGGGTGCACAAGAACAGGATAAAAAAGATAAAACTAAAGGAGCTGAGGGGATATTGAAGGGATTAAAAAGGTTGATGAACAACACCCTTGACGAGAAAGGAAAAAGAAAGGAAACTCCCAAAAATGCGACTCAGGTTTCACCCCTTCCATCAATACCTGACGTTCAGAGTGCTGGTCCATCCAACGTTCCAGAACAAAGCAAGGAGAGAGCTGATAAAGTGGAAAAACCTAAGAAATCAAAGATGGCAGAAAAGTCTGAGACCAGTAGAGCAACAAAGAGACGCAAAGAGACTAACAAAGACGGCACTAGAAAGGCTACCAAGAAAAAATGTAAACTAGTAGCCAAGCAGCCTGCAAATCCTCTAGGGGAAGGAGAGCTTATTCCAGCTGAAATGGGGGATCCTCCAAAACCTCCAATGTCTGACCTCGATTCTGCCAGTCGCTCAGAAACACCTGACGAAAAAGGATGGATTCACAACATTAAATTAAGGCCGTGTGAGAAAACCCTTGCTGCATACGGCAAGAAACCATACCTGCGCCTACCGCCCACAGCGTACCTGGACGAAAAGTTCACCACCATGCCAAAGCGTAGGAAAGAGATGCCGTTGTTCCAGTCCAGCAGCGGAGACGTCCCACCCCAGTTGACCTGCGTGAAAGAAACCCTGAAAAGGCACCGGTGCACCAAGTGCTTCTCCACCTTCAGCAGCGCGGCAGAGCTACAGCGTCACAACCAGCTGCAGAAGTGTTCAAACCTCTTCGGGTTTGACTCCGACGATGAGGGTGAGTTCAGCCTTTGCGTCTCAGAGTTCTAGTTTGCAGGTTATAGTAATCCATCTTCACTTTATTTCTCTTCTTTTTGGTGTTTCAGGTAACAGCTGAGCTAGTTTTACAAGACCAACTACGGGTTAAGATGCTAAGCTAGCAAGGAGCCACAGGATTCATCATACCTCAGTAAGTCGGCGTTACAATATGCTGACCTAGAACTTCAAAGGAGCAGACATAGGTGGTGGTTTGCTTCTGTGGAGCAGACGAAAGAAAACTTCTGAACTGAAGCCAGCGATTGAAGGAACTGTAGTACTGAAGTGCCTGCTCTGAAAAAACACTGTGCCGCGTCGCCCCTCGTCTGGCACATTAAAGCAAGGCTCCAAATTATTTTCCATCTGTAAGCCATACAGTGACATTGGTTGATTTTTATTTTTGCACTGTCCTCATCAGAGTTGGAATGGAGATGTCCCCATGTTGAAGAAACATAAAATCGGGAGTTGAGTTTTAACATCTTAGGGTTGCAATTAGAAATATGTATTATGAATAACAGTCTACTATAGGCTTTTTTTTCAAATGTACAGCTCTTGTATAAATACTAACTGTATTTCCTACTAAAAAAGGATCCCTGGGGCTTGTTCAGCTCCTTTCTACTCGTCATTGCAGTAACCAACCAATAGAGGGCAATGTGCACCAATCTTAAGCTCATTAAAGCAATTTATACTTTTTTTTTTCTGATAAGAGAACATTTAAGAATTCATTGCTTTTTCACCCAAATACTTTTTGACATGCTAAAGCTGCTCTGTTTTTATTTACTACTGTGTTGAGTTAAGGAATTCAAGTTGATAGAATATAGAAAAGCTCTGTAATTTAACAATTATCATGAACCAGAAAATGTGCCAGTGTCCTATAACTTTTTTTTTTTTAAATATTGAATATTTTTCACATTAGTTTGTTTTGTTTTTTTTCTTCCTGAATGTTTTTATTCACATTTTATGACATATTTAGCCCAGTCGATCAGCTACTTCTTTTTCAGGCTTCTTTCAAATTCATGATGGACGTAACGCCGGCTCTGTCACCGTGAGGCCGCATGCGTCTTTCACGATCAGCAACAGGTTTTATTTATTTGCTTTCTTTTATAGATATATAAATGTGTATCTTTTGTAAATATTTGAAGAGTTTCAATGGCTTATATAAATGCTGGAGCTGGGTTTATATTTTGTTCTTGAGGGGAAAAAAAATAAAATGTTTCAAATTGCATTTTTTTCTGTCTTAGCCTGTCCTTAGTTTTTTATGTTCTGCACTGACGTCAGTATAATTATGCTAAAACTCCCTGGGATAAAATCAGTTTAATGTATCAGAAGATGTGCAACAGACTTTATTATAGTGTTAGTTTATTATGGTTAAGATGGGGCCAGACTTGCAGGCAAAAATAAAAGAATTTAATTATTTTTTATCATGGCAGCTTGAGATAATAGACAAGGAAGAATTGAAGCAGCAGGAATTATCCAAGTTTAGTAGGACATTAAACAAATTCTGAAGTTATCAATTAATAAGGGGTTAGGGAAGTATCTTTGTTTCTTTTTTGTCTAGAAGTAGTTAAATCTGTTGGAAAGCCTTTTTTATTCATAAAATGAATCAGAAAACATACATTCACAGAGCTTAAAAACATAAAAGGTAAATGATCTCTGAAGTAAATGACAGAAGGGGGGGAAAAAATGCCATTCCACAGCTGTGTAGGAAGGGACGCCATGCTGGGTAGGTATGTAACTTTTGTTGCAGCCTAGTGTTTGGGGCATTGCGCCTTGAATCTGGAGGTTTTTAGTTCTATATATGTATGTGTGTGCGTGTATGTATTGTATTTCAATTTATTTCTACAGTGCTCCCCTTGTAATTACTCTAGTTCACCCCTAGGGGGCTCACTAGCCCACACACCCAACCCCATTTCTTTAACCACAGATTCAAAGAGGGAATAAACTGTATTTGCAGCATAAGATTCATGAACTGGGGGCCTTGTTAAAAATTAGCATGATGCCACCTCTTCCATGATTTACAATTACGCTAGGCTTAAGACTGAGGTGCTTTGGAATTATCACTTCATTAAATGTCAATGGTCCCACAGTATGATACTACCTCTACTGTGCTTTGTTTTTGGGGGGCGTTTGAAAGCATTTATTCCTTAAAAATCAACTTCTTGTATATGTATCTCTTTTAAGCATAAATCTTTGCTCACTTTAGTATTGGGTTTGAGCATATGGGTTGATGATCGTTTCATTTGAGCTTGAGCTCAAATGTTTGTATTCGAGAGGTTGGTTGTTAACTGATATTTTAGACCAAATCCGTTTTCATAACTGCTTGAAAAGAGACTTCTAGCTTGTATTCATTTATAACACTGCTCATGCCTTCACCAGCTGCAGCAAAATATGCTTCAGCCTGTATATGTAGTTTAGAAGACAACACATTTTTAAGATGCTTGCAGTTTAACTCTCCGTCCAGCATTTTTTCAAAAGCCCAACAACGAGTTTCATAAAGCGCCTGAACATCTCACCATTTCTATTGGGTATCATAGCAATGCTATTATCATTGACAGTCTTGTAGCGGGAAGAACTGCTTTCTTCATTTTATTTATTAACGATTTGTTTGACACATCTGGATTTTTAATTACCGTACCTTGATTGAAATGTTTTTTTTTTCTTTATATTTTTGCCCGCAATGCTGCATCTAATCAATTAAAAATACCATTAAAGAACCCAATTTATTCAAGAAAAAAGAAATGCAAAAATCTTAGACTCAACACATATATTTCAGTTCTTCTGTTAATTTAGCTAATTACAGATTAAAAACGTAAAAATCAGATAAAAAGAGTCAAAATATTACAACAGGAAAGGACTTTGATCTGGAAAAAAAGGATAGTAAGAGTTTAAACAAAAATTACTATAATAAATTATTTTTAAAAATATGCTTAAAAAATCAGGACATACAAGTCAGTAAGACAGAGCCTTTTAATAAATATTTGATTAAGTAATGAAAGAAACTGAAATCCCTGCAGCACAAACGCTACAACCAGTGGCATGATTGGAAATGGGCAGTTACCCAGGGCGACATTGAAAAAGGGGGACACAAAAATGTACATATTACATTGCATCTTGATCAATTGTTCAAATGCTTTCATACATCCAACTCGGAGTGGCCTCATTTTAATGAATAAATAAAGCCCTCATTTCGGTTTTTTTAATTTCTTAAGTTTTCCTAAACTTTAGGAGATCAGTGATTGGTCAATACTTGGAAGTGAAACTGACGTTTTCCATATTTCTTATCTACCTCTGTAAAGGTCTCAAAATCAATTCTGTAAACGTCAGTTTATATTTCAAATCTGCAATTTCAGACATTTTTATTGTTTCAAGGGTACTAATTACAAGAAGATTGAAATATGTAAGGGGTTTTGTGATCTTATAACAACTGTCGGTTATAAAAACAAAAATCAGCATCTATCAAAATTGAAATCGGCATGTCAGGCTTTTTAAAGATCGGGAATCAATGATCAGCTGCAATCGTGCACCCCTACTTTTATTGTTTTTGGGGGTGGGAGATAGAAGTTACTTTACTTTCATGCAATAACAACCATAAAACCACAGTCTCAGCTACTCTTCAGTCGGTCCCCCCCCCCCAACATCAAGCATTATAATGAATTTAAATATTGAACGCTATTTAGGCAAGTCAGATGATTAAGCAGCAGTGCAGATTCAGATTAAACTCCAAACTTAATGTAAAAAACAAAAACAAAAAACTGCTTCACTTTATAATGATATACCAAAACTCACAATTAAATCTTCACAATTTCAATTTGTTTTGCTTTTTTTTTTCTTTTTAAATACAAAAAAACATTAAATATATAAAAATAAAATTACTCAGAGTGGGAAAAGATAAATTAGAACCCGAGTACCGGGTTGCAAATGGATACGGACAATATGTCTAAAATGGGAGGAATGGAATGACACGTGATAAATAAAATCCTAAAAGTGTACAGGTCCCTGGTAAAAGGACCACTTTATTATTTAAAAAAAAAATGAAATCTGAACTGTTTCTTCCTTTACTGAAGCAGACATCTTGTACAATCCAACTGAAATCAATTAAAGGTTAAAAATGTCCAACAGCCTGTTTGCACAAATTGCAGTAATATCTGCATTGATTTATCTATAGTGGTTTCATTTTATTTTTACTTCAGATAAACCCGTCATTGTAATGGAGGCTGTGCACACTTTGGAGATGAACTGTACCTGATTTTCCTTCAAGCCAATATGGAAACTTGCCTGAATTTTTTATTTTATTTTTGGCATTTATTGTGGAAGAAAAGCATGGAGCTGGGTCTGTTATTATCTTATTCACATTCCATTTCAAAGAAGCATGAGCTGCAGCTCCTCAGCAGGTAGGTGGTTGGCATTCTTCTTGCTGAAACACGTTACAGCAAGATGAATGCCCGTCCCAGGTCGGCTCAATCTATCCCACCAGTCAGTTTCTTGGGGTTTTCCCAGACGTTGAAATAGAAAGAAGGCACACAAAATGGACTGTTCACTAAGGATCAGATATATAGATCCTTCTTTCCTCTTATTTTCCTCTTATGTAAGAGTTTTACCGAAGATGAGTGGCTTTTTGCCAGCTTTATATCCTGGGAAAGTCTCAGAACACCATTTGAAATGGTTCTTTGGAAAAGTGACTCAGCACAGGCAGCAGGACTCACACACGCTGCTCCTATTGCTGACGGCATGTCTCTGTTTGTAGATCCACTTCATGCTCTCCTGCAGGGAGTCATTCAGACAGGGAAGTAGTCTATCTAAGGTCAGTAATTCCCAGAATCCTCCTCCTTTTCCTCATTTCCCCGTTTGGTAATTCCACTTCATGTAATTGGGGATGCACTGACAGACCTGGCTGCTGTAGTAAAATCCAACCTTGCATTCCCGTCTGGGGTTTCTGCATGGAAGCCTGTAGCAACTTGAGAGAGAAATGTGGGCGAAGAAGACAAAAGGTGGATTTAAAAAGAGGAGAGAAAGAAGGGTTTTAAAGGGGTGAGGTTGGGATGGAACAGAGGAGACAGAGAAAAAAGAAAAGAGAAAAAAACATAAAGGAGATTATATTCTCTTGGCATGCAAACTATACACCCTTCTCATCTCCACATCCTTCTTGGAGGAAGCTCGATCCAAGTTTTATTTGCATGTGCATCAAAAGATTCTGTGTGAGAGGAACATAGAGTATTTTTCCAGAAACAGTCTGGGAACTCTTGTCTTTAAAATCTCAGCAGGTGTAGAGCTGCCTGCGGACTAACTACTGTGACCAGATGTTAAATCAGACAAAACAGAACAGAGAGTGATTGTTAGGAAAAATAAATTATTTATCTGTGTGCACGAATGCATCCTGATCTTGAAAACAATCTTAAAATCAAATACTTTTCCCCACATATAAAAAAGGGGGTTTCAATAGATAAGATGGAATGTAAGGAAAAAGTGTTTAGATAATCATGCAAATGATTTTACTAATTTGTGTCATACAATGTATTAAATAATTGCAGAAAAATACAGTTTCCGGTTTTTGGATTAAAAGATTACTGTATCCCATTAACCAAGAAGCATATCCTTTGGACTGCATTCAGTTAGATCCAGGTACAATAAATCTTTGGATATATATATATATATATATATATATATATATATATATATATATATATATATATATATATATATATAGAAGAGGATAAGGGCCACTAAAAAAATAAAAAAAGTTAACTGATTTTTAAATATTATTTCAGTTTGATATGGGAAAAAAAGTCAGAATTCTGACTTTAATCTCAGAATCCTGTTTTTAATCTCTGAATTCTGACAGCTAACAAACATGTCAGCATCAAGCCATAGCCATGTCTGTTTTAGAGAATAGCTCTCTTGTTTGAATCACCTTCTGCTCTTCCATTAATGAAATAGCATCACCAGGGACCCCCCAGGCACGTAAAAAAGTTGCCTAATTTCGTAGTTTTTTTTAACCAATGTGGAACTAGCCCTCCCAAACAATTCACGTGCTCCCACATCTCTTCCTTCATGGTGTCCATCTACATTAAAATCCCAAATTCTGAAATTAAGTCAGAATTCTGAAAAAAAAAAAAAAAAATCAGAATTCTGAGATTAAAGTCAGAATTTTTACTTTTTTCTCAGAATTCTGAGATTGAAGTCAGAACTCTGACTTTAATCTCAGAATTCTGTCTTTTTTTCTCAGAATTCTGAGATTAAAGTCAGGATTTTTACTTTTTTCTCAGAATTCTAAGATTAAAGTCAGAAGTCTGAGATTTAAGTCAGAATTCTGTGATTAAGTCAGAATTTTGAGGAAAAAAGTCAGAATTCTGTTTTTTTTTCCCCCCCAGAATTCTGAGAGTAAAGTCAGAATTTCTCATATTATACTGAAATAAAATTTAAAAATCAGTAGACTTTTTTAGTTTTTTCAGTGGCTCTAATCCTCTTCCGTATCACACACACACACACACACACACATACCGTATATATAGTTTTATATACAAGTTTGCACTTGAACGCAACACAAGTATGGGGTCACAGCTGTTGATAGCTCGCTAATCAACAGTTTGTGTCGTCTCTGTCATATCTACACTATTTAAATGCTTTTCAGCAGTTCGTGTGGTTAAGGTAAAATCAATCTATTATTTTATGAAACTGAAAATGGTTATTGATATTATATTTCTCATTTATAGGCTTCCTCAGCGGTAAGCTTCATTCCCTCACTTAGTTTGTTGCTAAGTTAGCTTACAGGGTAGCCTGCTTGGAAGTTTTATTTTATTTACCCTGTTTATTTTTTATACAAGTTAAATTTGTCTTAGGTCAAATTACATATTCTTCTTGATTAAGTGGAGCTACAAGTAGGTTTTTATATAAGTTATTGTAGTAAAATATATAATCTAAAAATCATAAAAAGTGAAAGAAACGTTGGAAACCTTTCTCAAAAAATATAATTCAGTGTGGAATCAGATCATCCTAAATAAAATGTGCTGCAGTCCATCATTAATCATTAAAAGTCACACCCAATAATGGGATTTTTTTTCAATAAAAATGTAACTATATGTTATTTATTTATTTATTTTTTCTTGGGAAGCTGTGTTAAATGTCAGTAGCCACACAGACAGGATCTGTTTTAAAAAAACAGAAGAATCTAAGAAGGATCAGCTCCAATTTGACAATAGTGACATAAGTTTAGGGCTGCAACTAAAGATTATTTTGTACATTGATTAATCGGTTAATTATTTTTTCGAATAATAATCGCAAAAGGTTCCTTAAAGAAGATTTTTTTTACAAAATTAAACCTGGTGAAACTAAAACTTTTCCAATTGAGGAGTTCTGGACGGAGCATAATGACAAACGAAAACAATTTTTTATCTCAAATGCACAAAATGTATATATTATTTTACAATTTTAATATAATTACTGCTCTAAGTGGGTTTCTCTGTCACCTAAAAGCATGCTTTAGATTCTCTATACTCCAGTTAACCATTAATCAATTACTAAATTAGTGGACGATTATTTCAATAACCGATTAATCACAATTAATAAGTTATTGACTCCCATTTTAGAAAATATTGACCAGAAAGAAGTGGAATATTTTGGAAGATTTAGAGTGGCCTAACCATACTCTGGACTTAATATCTCAGTGACTTAAATAATTCATGCTTTGAACCTCTCCACTGTGGTCAAATTAAAGGACTACTGTAATAAAAAGGAGCAAGCGTTTCTCCATAGCTCAGTAAAACATTAATTGAGTTACACCAAATTTTTACTTGGGTAATCTACTAAAGTTGGAAGATACTGTATATTTTTTTACCTGATTCCCTTTTTTATTAATATTGTTTAAATCCTGCATTTTTGTATTCAATCTGATAAAAAAAATTTAAAAAATCAAACTGTGTCAAAAACAGTTTCTTACATGTCAAACATGATACAAACGATATATTTGCTAAATCTGGCCCCACTTTTCATTGGTTTTAATGTAGGCATACCAGAGAAAAGTTTCCTGTACTTTATATCCAGAGTGAAAAAGAAATGTTAAACGTTGGTATTCTTGACAAAATACATACTTTGTTTCTCATTTTGCAAGCTAAATATGGGCTGTTCTTTTAAACATTTGCTCCAGTCATCATATTTTAAGTTGCTTTAAGCTGAGAATGTTTATTGTACTACTATGAAAGGCCACTTGTCTTTATATCCTTGGAAGTTTTCCCACATGTAAAGCTACCAGTATCAGCTCATGTTTTTATAGCGCCTGTCACTCCATCTGTCTGTCTCGCTGTCTCTTCCCTCTGCAGGGCCTCTTGGGTCAGAGCAAGGTTGATCCAGAGCATCCAGGCTGTGGGAACCACAACCCATAGACAAAACCCCCCAAGCGCATGGTTTGGATCCCTGAAGTCCATAAAAGGTCACCATTAAAACACGCAGATGACTAAAAAGGACTGAGAAAGTGATGTTTTCCTTTTAGAGAAGAATGTGTGACATGTCTATCAGGCGTGGTATCCAAAGGCGAATCCCAAAGCTAATGGGATTAAACCACTGATACCAGTAACACATCTCCGTTTCTTTCCACTGCTTTAGATTAAATACGATTAGAGCATTTGGTGGTTTGAGCAGTGAGGGTGCAAAACGGCAGTTTTATGTTATATGCGCAAAAAACTAAATGAATACATTTATTTTCTTTAAAAAGAAAAATCAAAAACTATTTCTATTTTTAATTTTAACATCGTCTTTTATTGACATGATAATTTAAGATATCATGTTTTGATTTGGATACAGTAATCTAGGGCTGTTAATAACAATTATTTTCTCAAATCGATTAATCTGGCGATTATTTTTTAGATGAATCGATTTTATAATCGGATAGCCAAAGGTTCCTTTAAAGAAGATTTAATTTTTTTTTTTTTTTTATAAATTAAACCAGGTGAAACCAAAACTCTTCCACTTGAAAGAGCATATTGACAGAAAAAAGTTTTTTTTTTTATTATTTTTTTTTATCTTAAATGCAAAAAAAATATATATATATTTTTTAGGGCTGGAACTAGCAATTATTTAGCAAATCGATTAATCTGTCGATAATCTTTTTGATTAATGGATAAATAATTTATTTGCAAAACGTTCCTTAATGAAGACTTTTCACAAAATTAAACCAGGTGAAACTAAAACCTCCACTAGAGGAGTTCTAGATAGAGCATATTAACAAACAAAAAAAGACTTTTTTTAAATGCAAAATCTTTAGACTTATTTTTTTCTGTTTTTGTATATTTGCTGCTGAAGTTGGTTCGCTTTAAATTATCGATTCATACGATTAATTGTTTCAGCCCTACAGTAATTAAAGCAAAAACCTAGATTAACAACCTACTCTTCTGTTAGATTTGAAGCGCTCCTGAAGAATTTGATATTTTAGATTTTAATATTCATAGTAAAACAAATTTAACGAGCAGTAGCTAGGTTTGTTAGTCAGGTTGTTTAGTCAAGTACAACTTGCTGTTAGACAAATCACTAATCTTTTTATGTGTTTTGAAAGTATTTCCAAACAGTTCAATATCTCTCTGGATGTGTTTCCATTCCAAATGTTTGCAAAGCTGTCGAAAGCGAAAGCAAAGGAAAGACTCGCAATTGGTGGTATTTTCATTACGTATTGAATAGAATTGCATATGAATTTGTTAGTTCACGCTAACTACTTCCGGTCTTCTGTGTCTTTTTACAAGGCAGTAAGGTCCAGTTACAGGTCACGTGTTTCCATTGCAGTTTTGCAACAACAAAAAAGCTAATCGAAGCTTCAAGAAATTTAATGAAAAAAAATACTTTTTTTTTTTTTTATCGCAGTATATTTAGCACATTTTCGTAACTACAATTTGTGCCATTTAATGGTAAATTGAAATGCACCTTCTCTTGTAAAAGCAAGCCCAAAAATGAGTCTAGGTAAAAGATAACCACACAATCATTTGAAAGAAAGATTATACAAATATATGCTGCAGAGAGAGATTGTAAATAAATCAATGTCTAAATTAAATCTAGAGGTGGTTCAACAAAGGATTAGTGTAAAGCTCTGCACTCAGGTAATCTGGTTGAGAACCTTACCTGCTTAAAAGATGTATACGCCTATTTATTTATTCATTTTTTACTCAATCCTTTACATTTCAGCAGGGTGTGTAGTTTCTCATTATGCTGGTTATGAGCACATGACAATTCATGATTCTCCTACTCTACTAAGGATGATTAATGAGTCCTTGTAGGACCCTTCACTCAATTGTCAATCATTGTGAAAGTTGCAAAGGTTTTAGCAATTTCAAACTCCCAAGTAATGTTGTGAAAACCTCTCAGACATCGCAGATCTCTCGATTTTTCTCCCTTAACCTGATCCTTTCAACATCATTATCATTCTGAGCATCTCTGTTTAATCAGGTTGAGAAAATAGTTCTCGGCTTGCAGCCCTGCTTTCATCCAACATTCTTTTAAAGAAAGTATTAAAAGAAGCCTAACTTGGACTCATCTGGCCTTTTAAATGTTGGGCAATATCAGATCTGTCTTTCCCCTCAAACATTTTGGAAAGGGGATTGTTTTTGCAGATGTAGTTGATTTTTAGATAACCCAATTATACCAAAATGGTTCAGCCTGGTATTAAAGCACTGCAGGGCTCAAAAACTGGACATTTTTAAATGTTTTAATAGTCTTATATTACCTACTGATTCAGTCCTGTGCTGTTATTTATTCATTTTTTTGGTTTAGACACCTGTAATTGATGCTGTTTACAAGAGTGATATAATTTCTTAGCTAGAAAATGGTATTACATGAACTATACTGCCACAGCAGTCGTTTTTAATGCTTTATTACTTATGGAGTCCCTCAGGGCTTTATTCTGGGGCCAATTAGATTTTTTTTATCAAAACTTTCCTCTTGAGAGTTCAAAATTAGAAATTTAAAGATTTGTATGCTAAAGACACTTTGATCTACCTTCAGTTGAAGCAGAACAGTTTAATTGTTCCTTTATGACCCTGAATGGACTAGCTAGTGAATGAATATTACATCAGTTGTTGTCGAGTTTAGATCTTATGTTTTAATTGTTTACTTTTTTCTTTTTTGTCTGCTATATTGTATTTAAAAATGCTTTATAGCTTGACATGAGCATCCCTCCCTTTGGCGCTCTCACCTGCAGGTGTTGGGGTCGAACCTCTTGCCCTGCCGTAGACACGTCTTTGGACTCTCTCTGCATTCACACAGGCACGTGTCGGGATTCAGAGGTTGATTCCCGGGACAGTCCATGGCGCACACGCAACCGCACAGCTCGTCGTCCCACCGCTGCCTTGCAGGACACAGCTTCCCATCGCCTTGCCCTTCGCACTGGCATTCACCTGACCAAAACGGTTCAAAAAGGAAGCGGGGAGGTCAGTTTATTAGTTTGCAAAACAGAACAACTTTTTTTTTGGTTTTTGTTTTACCATCTTTAACATTCTTGCTCATTTGCAATTTGCATAAAAATCTGCATTCCTTGCATGTTTTATCATGATTTTCATCAATTTGTCTTTATTACCGTTAAGACTAAACAATCCAGACCTGCACGTTTTAAAGTTTTTTTTAAATCTATATAAGCAATACCCTTTGTGATCATTTTTCACTACAATAGTGATCCATTGTAAAATGCAGCCAATATTTACATTAATATGTAAATAATGGGTTTCAACTAAGACAAAACATAAATTCAAACA